ATGGGTGGTGATTCCCTTATGGAGAAATTTATATGGCATAAAGTTTTAACTTAATTGTATCGGCTATTTCTAAAGACCTAGCCTGCTTATCTCAACTTGCTTTGTTTGTGTTGATGCCTACTGTTCAAAAGAAATGGAACATGATAGAAATATTTCATCTCTATGTTGTTGTTGATACCTAATTTTTAGCTCACTTTTTCATATTTTCAAAAATTTCAAAATTAGGACTAGGAATCTTGACCAAGCCTAGAAACCTATTTCTAAACCCAGAAAATAATTTTTTAGCATTTTTCTGCATTTTTCCTTAATTTCTTTTAGTCAAAATAGCCGAGAAAATCAAGAAAAATAGCAAATGGAATCAGAAAATTTCATAAAAATATTCATTAGTCTTATTTTAAATCCAATTTCATGAATACATTTTCAATTTTGAAAAATCTCAATCAGGTATATGTTTTTCCCAAAATTGGGCAAAATTAAACCCGAATTGAACCAAAAATGCAATTAAATTTTTTCTAGTCATTTTTAAGTCATAGTGTCTTCACAACAAATGATTCTGGGACCTTGAATTGCATAATGGTCGGTCCAATTGCACAATTTGACATAAAATCAAAAATCCCCAAAATTCGATTGAAAATTAAGAATTTTGAACCCAAATTGGGAATTGTGCCCAATATGAAATTTTCGAAATATGATACCAACATTTCTAGGGTTAATCAGATGTGGGTAATTCAATTTTAGCATCAATTTTACCTAATCAGGTCATTAGGACATCAAATTGAACAAAACCTTACCAACCCGAGTACAAAAATGAGAAAATCTTGGGCTCAATTATAATAAAAATTGGGGAAAAACATATACTTGGGTTCGGGATATGATGGAAAATTCAATTTTGGGATTAAATTTGGAAAATTGGGTCAAAATCGAGTCGAATTTGAGAATTTAGACCAACCCGGGTATGTCGAGTTGACCGGGTCAACTCGACCCGACTTGGGTAGCTTGTCTTCTTCACCCGACTTGCTCAAAGCGCACTAAACCCAGAAAATCAGTTCGTGCCCACGACTTGACCGATCATTCTCGATCAAACTAGCACGTGTTAATCGGTTTGGCCAGTTGGAAAATATCCAGCTGGCACCAGATAATCATCCCCAACCGATTATGAGTCAGTTTTAACAGAATTTGGGTAGGAAATTAATCAACAAAAACGAAGAAAACCTGAAGGAGAAGGAGGAGAACCTGTTCGACGAATTGCCAAAGAGAGAGAGAGAGAGAGAGAGAGAGAGAGAGAGAGAGAGAGAGAGAGAGAAACTGAGCCAAACCAAAGAGAGAGAATCAGAGAGAAAGGGTTGTAGGTTCTCCCACGAGTGTTCGGCGCCGCCCTAGACGGTGGAGCGCCGGCGAATCGTGAGTTGATCGTGACCTCCCCTCTCCATTCCAGTCGGGAAAGCCTGATCGCGAAGGCCTGAAACCGGGCATTTTCCGGCGCACTGAGACCTGTTTCGGCGAAATCAAGACCACCAGGAGGAAGAGAAAGTGTCAAGGAACAACCCTTGGGGTGCAGATCACTTCAACAATTTCGTTTGGTCATCAAACAAAGCAGGTAAATCTTGTTCAAGGTCACGGTTTTTCCAGAATTCAAAAAATGTGATTCGGTTCAATCTTGTTGTTCTTGCGATTTTTTTTGCGATTTTGCATTCCAGGATGTTCATTACTAGTTTCTAATCATTTTGTTGTTGTTTGATTGTGTTTTTGGACATTAAAATGCATGAACCGAGTCGGCCCCGCCATTGAAACCCCTCGCCGAAGCTGAGGTGACCCTGCCGGAGCGTCACCGTGACCATAGGTCATCCAAGTAGGCTTCCTTTCAACTTTGTTTGATGATTTGATGTTGATTGGAACCGATTTAGACGGCTAGGGCGAGTAGGATAGTCATTTAGGTTCTGAAAAATGTAAGTTTAGCCGGTGAAGGTTTGGGTTTTTGGACCGAATTTTAGCCGGTCGGCGAACGTCCGACGGCACAACGATTAAGCTAGATTAGTAACAGGTAATATGGACTTCATCGTGGATCAGTCGGAATGGTCAAAAGGTCGCCGGAGGCTCGTCGGTGACGAGCCCGAACGGTGACCTCGAGAACGTTAAATACGGAACAGTGTCCACCAACTGTTTGTAAAAATGCCTCAAAGAAAATACTCAAAACGGCGCCGTTTTTGGCTCTGGTCTCGCCGGAGGGGATGACCGGCGATCGGCGCCGGCGACGCCCAGTTCGGCCAAGCCGAACCGGTCCGGTCCGGTTCGTTTCCCCGGCGGGAAAATTTGAAAAAAATTCTAAAAAAAATAAAAAAATCAGAAAATTCTAAAAAAAATCACAAAAATCATACAAAAATTAGAATTTTTTTAGAAAATCAGAAAATTAGAAAATTTCATAAAAATTCAAAAATTTACAGAAAATTCATAAAAATTTAAAAATTTTCAGAAAAATCCAAAAATTTTCAGAAAATTCATAAAAATTTCGAAAATTCGGAAAATACAAAAAAAAAATTTGAAAAATTTGGAAAATCAATAAAAATTGAAAAATTGGAAAATTCATAAAAATTTTCGGAAAACCATAAAAAATCAATTCTCGGTTTTAATAAATTTTTCGAAAAAATAAAAAATTAAAAAAATTTTGAAAATTCACAGAATGGTCCAAAATCATTGTGGCCAGCCATAAAAAGTGAAATTTGATTTTTCGGAAGTGCCCAAGTGGCATTTTTAGAAAATTCCAAATTCAGGGGTTATAACCCCTAAAAAACCTAAAACCCTAAAAATGTGTAAGTCATGAAATGAACAAGCTTTTAGAGCTTCATTAGGGTTTGGGTGTTTTGATTGATTTTCGTTTTAGAGACCACTTAGGATTGATTGACTTGATTGACTTTGATTGTGCATTTAATACTTGTTTGGTCTTTCCTGCGATTAGAACTGATAGGATTAGTGGGTAAGCCTCGGAAATTCGCATGACACGTTAGACAACATATCGTTCTTAGGTACTGAAAGGGCATTAGGGATCTCGATTCGAGATCAATAACGTAACCAAGTCCCCGTACTCAGAATCTCTGGTTCGTAGATCGTGGTATTTCTCCCGTACCTCGATTAGGTTTCTAGTCTACTTACCAATAATGACTAGTGGCGACTCCAAAATAAAAAACCTAGACAAAATAAGAAATTACCTTCCACTGTCACGTGAGGTATGGTCTGGGAGAGACCCTTACACGGAAATACCTCCTTAGCGTGCAAATCCCGAAAAAACCCCAAAAGCGCGGCGCGACAGGCTTGGCGACTCCGCTGGGGAATTCCTAACTTTTCTAAGTGGACTTAGGCCTAGATAGAACGATATGCTTGTGTTTTGTGCTTGCAAGGATCCCAGGTACGTCCCGCTAATGATAGTGTTAAATGGTTTTGCAGGCGGGTGTTATAAGGGGTGTTGTCTTTGCTAACCCTTGTTTTGCAGGATGGTGTTGGGATTGAATGTGTTTTGAATGAATTTTAGAAGTGTTGTTTGGTCATTAATTGCTATGCATGTCTTTAAATTGCTTTAGCACTACACCATTAGCACACACCACCCGTGGCCCAACCCCGGCTACATTTAGGATTACCCTTAGGAGGTATGTGTTTAGGCGGAACTATGGGCCGATTGCTCATGGGATCGTTTAAATACAATGCCGATCACCGAGGTGGAATAATATTCCATAACTTTAGGCCGATTGTCTATTGGAATGAAATCCCTTGTCCATTAAGGTGATGACCTTGAGCCTTTAGTATATCCAACCCTCTTTAGGCGTCAAAACCTCACTGGTTGCATTCGTTTGTCTTTGTGGTTGGTATACCTAAAACCAAACAAAAATATCATGGTAAGCAAGTATCGTTCCATTCCATTCCTTTACAATTATGCAATGCTAGTTGGCACATTTTTAAAAAATGCCTAAATGACATTCAATGCTTGATCTAAATGCTCTTTCATTTTAGAATGCATGATTAAGGCGTCATACTCCATTTGATCATTCTTTCATTTTTAGATGAAATGTGTAGGTTCATGGCGGATTTCTCATGTGATTCAAACGTTCATTTCAATGTGTTTGAAGTTGCAAACCATAGTTTATGACTTTATGGTCTAAATGGAGTATGACAGAATGGGCATTTAAATCACACATTGAATTTGTCCATAATCTCAACTATATGCTTTTTTAAGGTTTGAATGGACTTAAAATGACATTTGCATTACTTTCGAGGCATGCAAGTGTACTTTACCTCCTTTTCACCTCAAAAGAACATATGATTGAAATGGAGGCATTAAAATTGATTCGCAATCTATGGTGACTAATGACAAATCTTTTTGCATAATTAGGCTAAATGGGGAAACTAGGGTAGCGCATGGTAACCATTCTGGTTTTGTCCAGAACTAGTTTTCTATTCCCAGAAATAGTTTTGGATCGGAAACCCGTTTGGTAACGCAATTTCATTTTTCTATTTCTGGAATAACTTTTTGTTCCAGAACCGATTCTGGACCAAAAATCAGAACAAAAAAAAAGTAGGTTTTTCATTTCTTGAACAAAAGTCAAAATCATTTCTGAGGAACCTGTTCTCTTCAAAAAACACATCCATCTTGTCTCCTCTCATCTCTCTGATCTGGAAGCCCGTCTCTCTCTCTACTCTCTCTCTGTTGCCATCGAGAGGAAGCCAGGGCCGCTCGCTCGCTCGCTCCTTCCTGCTCCACGTAAGCTCCGATCCTACGCTGGATCTTCTCTCATCTCTCTCTTTTCTGGATTTGGAAGTCACAGTGATCGGGGGGGTTAGCTTCGGCCTCGCCATGGCCGCCGGTCGACCTCGCCATCGCCCAAATTTGGGTGATGGCGAGGTCGATCTCCAGACCTGGGCGAGGCCACCGCCGTCTTGCTCACTCGCTTTGGCCGAGAGGAAGCCAGGGCCGCCATGATCGGGGAGGTTGGCTTCGGTTCTCTTCCGTCTCAGCAAAAATGTGCAGGAAAGTTCAAGTTCATACATATAGTTTGTGGGAAATGTTAGAATTAGTCTTTTGTTCATAATTTTGTATATGGGTGGCTTCTACCTGAAGCCATTTTACATAGGAGCTTTACCTTGGTACTTTCTTGATGAAATCTTTTTATCATTCAAAAAATGAAAGTGTTGACAAATATGAATTGGTCGGTTGTTTGTGGGTTCTGTTATACCGAGTTTGATGGGTGAATACAGAATACTAGATTACTTAAAGTATGGTTTAAACCTGAGCTATGTTCTTGCGCCTACACTTTTTAAGATTTATGTTAAAAGTTGGTTTTTGATCATCGTACTGGAAGCTTTGTGCTAGTTGACCAAATATTTCGATTAAAAACGTGAGGATATGATCAGATGGTGTAACTTGAGCTGAGTGGTGTCACAGTCAGGTTTATTGAGTAGTTACTATGCATTCTCATGGGCTTGGATTGAATTAATTTGTCTTATGGTTTTTGTTAAACTATGTGTGTTGTAGGTTAGGTGGCAAATACCTGGTCATGCTGCAGTCAAGTTGAGAACCGTACTGTAGCTTGACGGGTGGTAGTTTTTTTTTAATGTAAGGTATGGGAATTGACCTGGACGCATCTCTTTTTTTTTAAACCTTAATTTTCTTCTACAGAAGTGGATGGAAAGTGATTTTTCGCCCTTAATCTGTCTGCTAGGTGTTCTGTTACTCGTCGGATTTACCTGTGGTTTGGTTTCTAAAAGAAGCTTGTGAGAGAGAGATATGGTGACAGGCTTTTTTCAGAGAGCTAATAAGAAATTGAAAAAAGAAGAATCAATGTGCAGCAGCAGCTGTTATGAGACATGAAGTTGATAGTATCGTGTGGTTACGTTCTGTGTCCGTGACATTTGCATCTTTCTGATGCCCTGTTTTCCGGTTCGGTTAATGCATGGTTTTTACTTCCGGTTTGTATTTACTAGTACAAATTACAATCTTGTTGGCAAAGTGGGAAATCAGATTCAAATAGAATGATAAGTATAACTTCTTTGGTTTCTTAAATCAAGAGAAGCATAATCATGTTTGTACCCTGCTTTCGGATCGCATGTTTTTCATCTTAGAACTGCTTCATATGAGTCTTCCTTAGCCCTATCCTGAAGTTTCAATTCACTTCTTTCAAAATTTTGCTAATTGTTAGTTCCAATTGAGAAAATGAAACTTTTTTTTGCCAGTGAAGGCTTAGGGAAGAAATGAAAAATGGTATATGGGAAATTACACTAGGACTGATATTTCTCATTGTTGTGACTTGTCCTTTTAGCTTTTCCAACAAATGCTCCCATGAAACTCTAACTAAATATTTTTTTTCAAGTACAAGCTGCTGCACCTATAAGTAAAGGAGAACTCGAGAGGGCCACCTGGACTTTTCTCCACACTCTAGCTGCTCAGGTCTTCTTAGTAAATAAAGCCTAGCTTTTTACTTTCCTTTTCGTTTTCCATTTACGAAGTTTTGCCTGAATATATCAGTATACTCCTACATCATTTGCACTTCTGCTGAGTTCTTCTGAATTTCTCAAACAATAAAGTTAGCACTAATTATCTATCAGAACACTCAACATTAAAGCACATGTACATCGAACGGTTCAAATTGTAGATGATATGGCTCTTTACATCAAATCTTCTGCATTTGAATTGGTACACCATATGATATGGCTCATTTGATGTTCAACCAGTTAAGGGTAAATGGCATCTCAAAAAGAGGCACTTGTGGCAAAGTGGACTGAGCCTTTAATCAATTTGCTTGTAAGCTTAATGGTAGAAGAGGTACAAAGAGGAAATCGCACCACTACTACCTACAACAAAGTAGGGTGGAATAACATAGTTACCGAGTTCAATAAACAAACAACACTCCAGTTTACTGTAGTTCAGTTGAAGAACGGGACAAACAAATTGAGGAGACAGTATGGGAGTTATAAGAAGCTTCTTTCACAATCTGGATTTGGATGGGATAATGTTAACAAAACGGTTATTGTGGAGGATCCAAGTGTATGGGATGATCACATCAAGGTATCAGTTTACTTGGGTCATTTTGTTCTTATTGTGGATGTATGTTTCGATTATGTTGCTGACGTATATCACTATTTTTGAAATTGCAGGATAACATCGAATGGGCTAAATTTCGAAAGGATGGGTTTCCTCAATATCCCTGTGACATTCCGAATTTTGGCCCATTTTTGGGATTTATAAAACGGGTATTTCGTCAGTGCGCTTATAGTAAAAATCTCGCCCGGGAACTGATCACTCCCGGTTATTATTTTTAAATCTTGAGATTTCGCTAGAATCGCACTCGATCGAATTTGGCCGTTATTTAGAGCCCAAACTTTGGTGTCGAATTTCTTGGAAGTTCCGGGACGAAATAAATTGGACGGTGTCAATATTATCATAGCCAGCGTTGAGATTGTCAGGAATAGTGAGAAAGTGGATTTTTGACCGGGTGCGAATTTGGACTAGTAGACCTCCCTCGTAGTGTGTTTTGGGTTATTTTCTTTTGGCCCTTTTTCCTAAATTATAATTAGGATTTTTGTGGACCGTGGGATAGTTTTCGGGTTCGAATCGTGACCGTTGGATCGCGATCATTGCTTTCTCTCTCTCTCTCTCTCTCTCTCTCTCTCTCTCTCTCTCTCCTCCTTCTGCCGCGCCTGCGCATGTCCGCCCATGCATGCGCACGTCCCCTCTCCCTTCTTTTCCGCTCACGTCTCCTCCTTCTCGTCTCCTCTTTTCTTTTCTTTTTTTTTTTCTTTTCTCCCTCTTCCCTTCCTCTTCTTCTTCGTCTCTTTCGCCCGACCCTTGCTTCTCGCTTCGCTTCTTCCTCCGCCCGACCGCACCTCGCCGACCGCCTCGCGCCGCGTCGCCCGACCGAGCCGCGCCGCCGCCGCTAACCGCCAAGCAGCCCCGTCGGTCGCCCCCGTCGCCTGGTCGCTCCCCTCTCTCCCCCGACTCCCGTCCACCTCCGCAGCTCCTCCCCGCCTCCGCAGCCCGCTGCTCGACCGCCCTTCGCCTCCGCCCGACGCCGCCCCACCGGTCCGCCGTCGCCGCCGTCGTCCGAGCCGCCGCGTCGCCCAGCGGCTCCGCCCGACGCCGCCTTCCTCCCCTCCCGAGCGCGCGAGCTCGGCTCGCCGCCGCTTGCCGCCGCGTTCGGCGAGTCCCAGCCGCCGTCCAGTCGTCCAGCCGGCTCCCCAGCTCCGCCCCGACGCCTGAGTGTCGTTGTCGCCGCCGCCGGTTCGACCCCCCCTCGGCCCCCAGCTCGCCCCCTCTCGCCACCACTGCCCCTGCTTTCTTCCTCTCCCCTACGGTCTCCGTTGCCGCCGTCGTGTCGCCTCGCCGGCCCGGCCGCGGCCCAGCCCGGCCCGGCCAGCCGGTCACTCGTCCGGCCCGGCTAGCCGGCTCGCCGGCCAGCTAGCGGCTCGCCGGCCGGCTTGCCCGAAGCTCGCCCGGCCCGCCCGACCAGGCTGCGCCCCGCCGTAGCTCGCCTCCGTCGCCGTCCGGCCGTCGTCTGGCCAGCCCAGCTTGCCGGCCAGCCCACCCGGCCAGCTCGCCGGCCCCGAGCGTGCCTGGCCGTGCTCGAGCTCGCCGGTCGAGCGTCCGGGCCGTGGCCGAGCTTGCCGGCGCCGTGCCCGTCCGACCGGGCGCGTCGCCCGTCCAACCAGGCGCGTCGCCGGCCGTGGCCCGGCGCCTTGCCCGTTCAGGCCGGGCACCTCGCCGTTCAACTTGCCGTGCGCCCGGCATGCCGTTCGCCACCGCGCCCGCGCGCCAGCGCGCCGTCCGGCCATTGTGCCCGCGTTGGCCGGCCACCGCGCCCGTTGACCCATGCCCGCGCCTAGTTCTAAGATTGTTCACCCGGGCCATTTTAGGCCCGAGCCGATTTTCTCCGGCCCAAAACCAAGTAAGTAACTTCCTAAACCCTACCTAGTACTTTGGGTATTTTTAGACTTGTTTAGGATGTGTTTAGTACCGGCTTAGGACTTTAATTAGGCGTGGGCTAATTAGACTGATTGTGCTTAATTGGTGAATTATTGTGGCGAAAATTGTGCGGCTAATTTAGTGATTGACTGAGATAAATATGCCTGACTGAATTGTCGTGGCGCTTGTGGGTGAATTGGATTAATTGAATGTGCCGACATGAATGTCGGGTCAGTGGACCGATGTGGGGAGCATGAATTGAGTTGACTGATGTGGCGTGCGAGATTGACATTAGTGAAAGGGTGGTGATTGAAATTGATTTATATGACTAAGAGCATGGTGAATTTTGTATTATGGTGCATGTGCATGAGAAAAGCCCGGATCGATCGGAGGGCTGCCAACCTGAGGGGTGTTGACCCGGGTTGTGAGAAAGGACCTGTGGGGTGTTGACCCGGGTCGTGTGAAAGTAAGAAAGGTCCTGTGGGGTGTTGACCCGGGACAGAGCCCGGATTGATCGGAGGGCTGACCTGTGGGGTGTTGACCCGGGTCGTGTGAAAGTAAGAAAGGTCCTGTGGGGTGTTGACCCGGGACAGAGCCCGGATTGATCGGAGGGCTGACCTGTGGGGTGTTGACCCGGGTCGTGTGAAAGTAAGAAAGGTCCTGTGGGGTGTTGACCCGGGACAGAGCCCGGATTGATCGGAGGGCTGACCTGTGGGGTGTTGACCCGGGTCGTGTGAAAGTTGGATGGATGCGCATGTGAAATGTGTTTGGGTTGAATTGGATGAACGTACGTGTGTATGGCGCTCAAATGATTTTGATGTGTCATTGACTATTATTGCATTATTATGATTTGACTAATGTGCAGTGTGGGCATGTGGTTGGATGGCGAGGTAAGTCCATTTATGTGAATTATATATATGTAATCGGGTAGATTGCATGTACGACTTGTCTGGGTACGCATTGGCCTATGTGGGGTATAGGGGGTTGCTTATTGAGACTCGTTCTCACGGTTATTATATAACCATTTTCAGATCTGCGACCGTGATTGATTGGAGACGACACCAGGGTATCTCGGGGATGGAGGACGGGTCAAGTTATCCCATATTTTGTGTGCCCCTCTTTTGTATAGCGAAGTAGGATACCCCACCACTATTCCCTTTTGATGTTGTGTATTTGGAATTATTGTTTTGTGCTATCCCTTTGTCATATTTTATTGTCTGGGTTGTTTTAATTTCGCTTCCGCTTGCCTTTATCGTTGGGTGTTTCGTTTGGGTTGGCGACGCGTCCTGGGACGTCGCGTTCAATGATTGACCATCGAGGGGTGTCGCGAGCCCGTTGGGGTTCGGGGCGTGACATCCCTGTTGATTTGGTATCAGAGCAAGGTCAGCTCGATCCAAGTTGGTCGAAGCCTGGAGTGATAAGGAGCGATGACTTTGGGGTAGTCAGTTAAGGAGTCTTGTGTGCCATGCGTACCCCAGACCGTGTGATTGTGATTGCTGAGTGATTATATGCAATGACATGTGAAATGCAGGTGCGTCGGGACTTGAGGTAAGTGCGTGAAACCTGTTGGTTGTGATTGAGTGATGTTGGTGATTTGCTGCCTGCTTTGTGAATTGTGGTTGTGATTTGGTGTCATGGATGATTGGCTGCCTGCTAAGTGAATTATTGTTGTGATTCACTGCCTAGGGCTTTAGACTGATATAGTTGGCCTAGGTCTTTAATTCCCGAGGGGAATTATAGCAGGTAAGTGAGTGGTGTGACATTGTGAGTTTAAGCAGTTGAGGTCGAGGTCGAGGTCGAGGTCATGTAGGTCCGCAAGCTAGAGTTGCAGAGGATTCCAGATGGGATGAGATTTTGAGGGCACTCGAGGGAGTTGGAATTTTAATGGGA